AAATTTTATAAGACGGTGGTGAGATCTACAATGCTTTATGGCGCTGAATGTTGTCCTTTAAAAGAGAAGCATAATACTAAGTTAAGTGTTTCCGAGATGAGATTGATTAGGTGGATGAGTGGCTTTACTCTTATAGACAAAATGCGAAATGATATATCTGTGATAGGGTTGGTGTAGCTTCTGTGATGGATAAAATTAGAGAAAGTCGTCTTAGATGTTTTGGTCACATTAAGCGTCAACCATCTGATGATCCGATTTGGAGAGTAGATGTTTTAGATTCGACTTATGTTAGAAAGTCAAAGATAGACCTAGGAAGACTTGGGCTTATTGTATTAAAAATGATCTTAATTTACTAGAACTAAATGAAAATATGACACTAAATAGTACACAATGGAGAAAAAGGATTCATGTAGCTGACCCCACGTAGTGGGATTAAAATTTTGTTGTTGTTGTAAACTAAAATGAGTCGAATAAAAACTAACAAAAAATTATACTAATTTATAATTCAAACTTAAATTTTTTTTTGTATTGTGAACTAACCAGCCGAACACTAGCAGTTAATGGGCTGAACAAGAGCCGGCCCAACTCCCTTTCAATTAGGAATAGTGCCTCTCTTTCGAAAAATTATTCCATGCGGATTGGCCCGGACCGTAAATCACATGATCTACGGTCCTGATGTATTTCGGTGGGTCCCACCTAAAATTTTTTATTTTTTTTTAAAAAAACAGAAATAATCCTGACCGTCGAACACCGCACACCGCATGATCCCCCTTTCGAAACACTAGCAGTTAATGGGCTGAACAAGAGCCGGCCCTACTCCCTCCCAATTAGGAATAGTGCCTCTCTTTCGCACTTCGCATCGCACGCGGGACGCGAGATTCCCTCCATAGCTCCTCCTCTCTGGCTGTCTCGGCAACGACGGCAAGCCGACGACAACATTTGGGAAGCATCGACGGGATCGGCGTACAAAGATCTTTGAAATTCCCAAAATTTTCACATACGTAAGGTAACCCGTAACCCTCTATATAGATTCAGAATATTTTCCCCTTTTGTTCTGTTCCTGCAGTGTTAAGCCATGAGTAAACTCAGTTACATGCATAAAAATTTTATTAGCTGTGTGCTAACTGATTTATCTTAGGAAGCCGTGAGCAAAATTATTTCAAAAAATTGATGAACTGTTTGAGTCTTTGGAGATCCTGGTGCCGATTATTCAATCATAACAAAAGAGTTAAATTCTTTAAATATTTCATATACTACAATAATTACTAGTTTATTCACATCTTGCCTACTGGGGATAATATTTTAGCTAACCATGGTTGTGTTTGTGAAATTGATATATTTGATAAGAAGTTGGAATTTGAGTTGATTATCTTGCCCATGACTCCTCCATTTCCCATTCCAATATCTGTGATCATGGCAAAAGAAAGTCATGAGAGCGATTATTTTGTTTTTAGAGTTTGAATAATATCTGAGAATAAATTTTATGTTTTCTCTAAGGTTGGAATATTGCATCCTCCTGTTTCAAGTGGTGCATTGGCTATGTCTTATTGAGTGCAGATGGCTGTCTTCTTTTATCCGAGAACTTCCTTCCCATCCAGTTTTGACATTTCACCTTTAGTTTTCTTCCTCTTTACTGTTGTTTATTAGCCTTCATTACTTCCGGTCTCTCTATTTCAACTATAACTCCACACCAGGTTTGATTCTTGCCACCCTTCTTTGACATCCAAGAATATTGCCAAACCTCTTAATCCATTATCAGCCCACTGCATAAAATGCAATCTACTTTGAATCATAGCTTCCAATCCTAAAACAACCCTTCACATCCATTTGCATCCATTTAGCCTTTATTAAACCACCTCTTAAATAACTAAATCTAATTAGCTCAAACTAACCCAAATCAAGATAAGCTTGAATCTCCCTCCACCACAATCCTCAAAAGGCCTCACCATTCTACCACAAATTTCAAATCAACCCTCCATCTAAACTAATACTCAATACTTAATTTGATCAATTTCAACGAACCTCAATAATCAAGTAATCACCTTGATGAATTTCAAGGATTGCCGAAGAATCATTTTGTTTTGATTGATTTGCTTGTTTAGCATATATTATTTTAATATTTCTATTAATGATATTTAATTATAAAATTTCAATTATATATAATGATATTATATATATTTTTATGTAAAGGTTTAACAAATAGATCGTTATTTAAAAAGAATAGAAGGGTGAAAGTTGATATAGAGATCTACCAGGTGACCTTGGACTTCGTCCTTCTATTTGGAGTTATGATGTTAATGATAGAGACAAAGTACGAAGAGCGTATTTGCTTAAGCGACCACATCAACCAAAGACTCTTAGTTTTCTTCAAACCGTGATAGGTAACATTGCTCGGAGATTTAGTTCGAAATGGTTCGAGGATCATCTAACTTCGCTACAGTGTAACGTTCAAAAAGATGCAACATATTGCCTCTATTGTTATCTATTTAAGCCTCATGAACTGGTTGATACAAGTTAAAGAGGTAGAGATTTATTTGTTAATTAAGGATTTAAAAATTGGAAGGAAAAAGAAAAACTTTTAGCTCATGTTGGACATCATATCAGTGCTCATAATAAGGCAAGACAAAAATGTGAAGATCTAATTAAGCCTCGAGTACAGGGTGTTTTTACCTTGTTGTTGATTAAGGATGAGAGGAATAAGAAAGAATATAAAATTATGTTGACTGCAACTGCTAATTGTGTTTAATTTCTTCTACGACAAGGGTTGTCATTTCGTGGGTATGATGAATCATCTGAATCAGCTAATCAAGGCAATTGTTTGGAGCTATTTTATTTTCTTGCGAATCATAATGAAGAAATCAAGAAAGTTACATTTGAAAATGCCAGCACAAAATTACAATTAACTTCACCAAAGGTTCAAAAAGAATGTTGTCAAGCTACAACAATTGAGACATTAGCTTACATAATTAAAGATATAAGTGATTCATACTTCTCTATCTTAGTTGATGCATCTTGTGACGTGTCAACAAAGGAACAGTTGGTTGTCGAAGTGAGATATATTAATAAAAAGTGACAATTTATTGAAAGAATTATTGTTGTTAAACATATTTCCTCAACAAATTCAGTCGCACTCAAAACAATTCTTGAATTCATACTTGCAAAACATTCATTAAGCTTACATAGGATACATGACCAAAATTCTTGAATTCATACTTGCAAAACATTCATTAAGATTACATAGGATACATGACCAAGGCTATGACGGGACATCCATTATGCGAGGTGAGTTTAATGGTTTGAAAACACTCATTCATAATGATAATCCTTAAGCATTCTATGTTCACTGCTTCACTCACTAGCTTTAGTTATGTCTGGTAGCTGTAGTAAAAAATCATTTGCAAGTTAAACATCTTTTTGAGTTCACTTCAAAAATCCTAAATACTGTTAGAGCTTTATGTAAGAGGAGTGATGCTCTTAAAATCATTCAATTTGAGAAAATTCTTTTGCTTATTAGGGTGGAAAATTTACTTAGCGCTTGTGGTTTGAATCAAAAAACTGCTTTGCAACGAGTTGGAGACACCCGTTAGAGCTCACATTTCTATACTTTAATTAGTCTTATGAAAGTGTATGCATCCGTATTTGAAGTGCTTGAGATTATAAAAGAGGATGAAGTGCATCATCAACAATCGTTGAAGCCGGTGTTTTAAGCGATGCAATGAAAAAATTTGACTTTATCTTCACAATGCATTTAATGATTGATGTTTTAGCAGTTACAAAAGAATTGTCACAATCTTTATAAGGAAAAAATCAAGATATTGTGAATGCAAATGATGCGAGAGAATGGATGAGATTTCTTATTAGAAGAAGTGTCTCGCTTTTGTAATGTTTTTGAAATTGATGTTTCAAATATGAACTCATCTTTTAATGCTCGAAGATCAATGAGGAGAGGTGAATAAACAAATTTGCTTCATTATCGTGTTGAGTTGTTCTAAAAGTTGAATAGCCATTTCTCTGAAGCAAATACCGAGTTGCTTATTTGTATAGCTCGTCTAAATCTAAGTGATTCATTCTCAGCTTTTGATAAGATTAAATTAATTCTTCTTGCAAATTTATATCCTAATGATTTTTCCATAGTTGAGCTTGTAGCTCTTGATTATCTGTTGTCCGCTTATATTCGTGACATGCACTCTAGAGATGATTTCTCATTTTTAAGAGGCATTACCAATTTTGCAAAACAACTTGTTAAAGCTAAGAATGATTCTGTGTATTCTCTTGTTTACAGACTTATTATGTTGGCGTTAACTTTATCAGTTGCTACTGCTACAGTTAAGAGATCTTTTTTTTTGCAATGAAGATTATCAAACATTGATTACGCAATCGAATGAGTGATGACTGGCTCAATGATTTTCTTATACCATACATTGAGAAAGAAGTATTTGACTTGATTCCTAATGAATCTATTATGCAGCATTATCAATCATTGTAAATAGATTGAAAGCTCGTAATCATTGTCGTGATCTCATTGAGAATATACATTCTTCTTGAATGTAATTCTTGTAATAGGAATTAGTTCAGAAGATGTTTTGAGCAGTTTTCTCCTTGGTTTGCTTGGTTTTCTCTGTGCATGCTTCCATTTTAAAATTTGCAACAAATTTTATTGGCAAGACTTTTTTTATAGATTTTTTTTTACTGATTTTAACGGTAATTTTTGCATAAATTTTATGATGTAAATGCGATATAAATTTTTTCTTGGTTAATATTTTTTTAAACTATATTTGCTTACATTGATTTGATTTCTCTCAACATTATCGAAACAAATGTTGAAATGAGATTATTATGCCAAAATTTTCAAACTTTTGCTTTAGAATGACTCATAAAATATTAGTACAAGGTTTGCATGTTTATTTTTTGAATTAAGAATATTGATTTGAGATAATAAAAAACATAATGGAGCATTTACATGCATACCACATTATTTTTTTTGTATTTATTTATCGAACACCTTAACTTTTTTGCTCACCTGCATAACACTAAAAAAATTTAACACCACATAATAAATCTGCCCCCCTGAAAACAAAGGCTGGTTCTGCCCCTACTATGGAGTATGATTTTTCAGAGTACATGCTTGAGGATGTCTATATAGAGTTTGTGAATGCAAACACTAAGGCCTTCGATGGATGCAAATTGCCAGAGTATATGCAAACACATGTCTACGTCAACTATGATGTCGAGAAGTTTGTTCCAGAAGAATGGAAAGTTACATATGAATTCACACTCCTTTCTCTCTTGGTCTGAAAAGCGAAAGCACTCGTCAAAATTTATCCTCTCGACACAGATGCCGCTCCACACCCGGTTAACACTGTAAAGAATACACCGCTAGAAAGGATGTAACACTTCATGAAACAAGCGATCAAATCTCAAACTCTTGGTCTGAAAAGCGAAAGCACTCGTCAAAATTTATCCTCTCGACGTAGATGCCGCTCCACACCTGGTAAACACTGTAAAGAATACACCGCTAGAAAGGATGTAGTACTTCATGAAACAAGCGATCAAATCTCAAGCTGTGTACAAGCTGCTCCTGACATCGTAGCGTCACTCCCGGCCACCGCCTTTCCGCCCGCTCGAGTTGAAGTCACAAAACCGTGGTACTGCTGCACCTTAAATGAGTGCTATGGAACCACCCCCTCTGGACATAGGCACAGGGATGCCCAAAATGGGTGTAGACCCCTTGCTCTGGGTGGCTAGGCGCGACATTGGAGCATAAGACACCCTCCTTTAGGTGCCTAGACACCCACCCTTGGGCGCGTTGGTGCCCCATATTGGGGCACCAGTTTCTATGTGCTATTGTTGTGTACCAGCATATAACTTTTGAGTTATCAATATGCTTGTTGCCCTTGATTATTCGGCTAGAGGATGGTCACCCGCCGGTTTCTGAATAGTTGCCTCTCGAAGACTTGGTCGATGTTACAAAGTTGGTAAGTGTTGGCGACATGTCAACACAAATGA